ACCCTGTATAATATATGTAAGAAAGTTGCACCGACGAGATAAATTTCCAATGGTACATTATCCGTCTTTCCGAAGGTGAAACCTTCAAGGAGACGTCTTTTCAAATTTTCCGCTGCCTCGGCTCGAAACTTAATTTTTACCGTTCACTTTTTTTCGCGTCACTTGTAATTCTTTTGCGTAGATGAAATATATAAAGAATTATTTAAAAAAAACCTTTCTTGAGAAAATTATCATATATGAGAAAATTCGGAATTAATTCGTCTTAATTCATCTGGAATGACGCGCTGCGTTATGCATCCGTTTTATGCGCTCGATTGTACTGACATTTCGGATACTCGCAAGGGCAGATTTATCGCGGACCGCCCGTGCTTCGTCTGCATTATGCGAACGGCCGAGATTTATTTCGCTCTCGAGACGAAGCCCGTTCCAGTCGTGCAGCACGGGGATACGACGCGCCGCGTGCGAACGCAAACGGCGGGGGCATGCAAATTTATCAATTTAGCACCCCGGTGCACTCAAGCGCATTGCATCATTGCTCCGTAATCGGCGGCGGAACCGGCGGCCATCGTTGCGACGTCGCGATTCGCCGTCGTCGCGTTTAACCTTCGCGTCTCCGAGACAATCCAAAATTGGGTCAGCGTAACGTTTTGATACTCATTTTCCTCATTTCGCGTCTCGAGACGAGTCTGTAGAAATTGCCTGACGTGAAAAAATGTCTCAATCTTGATTATACATTTCGTTGATGGTGCTCGTGAAAATCCCGATAGCATCGAGTGCATGAGTCGTCGAGTATCCTCGGGTTTCCTGCCCTCCCTTTTATCAGAAACTCGGTACGATAGCCGGTGGCCATTTGTCGCGTGAATGAAAAACGTGGTCGCCGCGCGTTCGCCTTCGTACGACCTTGGCGAACGCAGTGCAAGGTAAGGTGACTCACGCGCAGGTGATAAGCGCGGTGGAGTTATCGCGCAACGGTTGCCCGACGCGGAGTAATCGAGCGGATAAGCCGGGCTCTTAATTCTGCGATGCACACCGCGGGGTTCGAAACAACCCCGCACGTATGGCTCTTATCACGTGTGCAGTCTTGGAGATATCGGAGTCCAAAGGCTTGTCCACGATGCTAGAACTTGGCCCAAGTTCTTTGGAAGACGCTCTCATCGACCTATCGCGTTTACCGCGCGCGCGACATCAAAGCTGTAACTCGTCTCGCGGCGCGCGAATCTTGCTCCAACGTATGGCTCTTATCACGCGTGCAGTCTTGGAGATGTCGGGGTCTAAAGGTCTGTGTCCACGATGCTAGGAACTTGGACCAACAGGCCTTTACTTTGGAAGACGCTCTCGTCGACCCATTGCGTTTACCGCGCGCGCGACATCAAAGCTGTAACTCGTCTCGCGGCGCGCGAATCTTGTTCCAACGTAATTATATCAGAGACACACAATGGCTTCGAAAAGCTATTCAAACGGTTCCACTCAGCCGTTGAAACAGCTACCGAACTTGCTCCGCGGAATCGCGGCAACCAGTTTCCCCTCCTGGCAACGCGAACCTCTTGAGGGAGAGAGCATCGTTATTCATTTCTCGGCGCGCGCCGGTGTTCCAGAAGTCATTGCCCTCGGCCCGTGCGTCCTCGGTTCTCACGCCCGCGTGTGCGTGATGTCACCTGTCCGCGAAAACAGGTGGCCATTCAAGCGGGAGACGAGATCGTTTCCTCTCCTCGTTTCCCAAGCTTTTCCCCGGCTAAGAGGGGAGAAGCCCCGTCGTATATACGTTCTCTTCATTTTCAAGTAATAGACTGTTTAGCGAATACCTTGTCGTTCTTAGACCGATACCTAGAGCTCTTTCAGTCCCAAACTGTGGACAGTGTTCGTAGTCTAACAGCCCAGTGATTATAGTATCGTATAATACACGTTTATCTTTAAGCTATCACTTTAATCAATCCTCAAAGTAATCTTGGAACTAGACTTTATCTCGAACGTCGTGAAGTAGAACTTTATAATCGCGTTCATAACGATAGCGAAGAAATGAGTGAAGCACTGCAAGACTTGTAGTTTCACATACAAATTTTATTTAAGAAAATTTTCTGAAAGAGGCATAGCTCATAAATCCTAAACGTAATTGACTGGTAACAGAGAAAATATGGCACGACACTAATCGACTGCAAATGTTTCAGGTAGTCCCGATGCTACTCCATCAAGAGGACCACATATGGGACATCCTTGCCTCGAGTACTTCTTGGCGCGAACGTGAGTACGTCCAGTTTGTATTCTGCCGCGTTTTGCCTGCGGCTTCGTGACAAATTTCCCCTTATGTCAATGTAAAAATGATTAAAACTGAAAATATCACAATCTTGCCGAGAACATGGAAAAATGTATCTTATTTAGAGAACGGGAAATAGTGTACAATATTTAAACTGCTCTTTAGAGACTTTTAGTTAATTTTCGCACCCTTTGTAAATGTCGCAAATTAATAGATTAATTATTACGCGATTGGACAATAGATCTAACATTGTAAAAGACACAAGCGGGCGAAGTCGGTTAAAGGGTCAACTTGGCTGCGAGTCTACCTTGGAAACGAGTCGCAGACGAGTGCGGGCTCGAAATATCCGTGACCGTGATTTGTCGAAGGAAAACCGAGTTCGTTCCGGTGTTCGCAAAGTCGCGTAACGGGAGCGGACGGGAGCCGATTCAGCCGTGAAATTCTTCACGCACGGAAGGGCTTCGGGGCTCTTTAAACCAGGCGGGGGTTCGCATGGGAAAGGAGCAGGTTGAATGTCTGCCACGACGAATGCGCGTTTGCACCTGCAGTTTAGCTGCACGCGCGGAGCGATCGACCGTTTCGGTTCCGCGGAATACTTCGAGTAATGTCGCAAATCGGCGAGACGGCGGAGATTAGAGGGTGTATCTTAAAATACATTCTCTTCCGCGTACAGGCTATCGCGGATCTAGAGCAGGCCTCAATTCTACGTCACCGAGAAGTCATTCAAAAGAGTTATTATCATAATTGTACGAGAGACGGACGCGTACGCGCACAAAGTTGTTTGATCAATTTCTTTGTCGTAAGAAGTAAATATATATTTTCACAAATAGATTTAATATCGCCAGTAGATTAAAACCAATGATAATTAGTAATTTTTAAACGACCTACACTGGCCAATGTTTTTATTTGAAAAACACAACAACGTTTCGGTCCCGGATTCGGAGGCCCTTTTCAAGTAATCGGTTCGCACAATTATTAATGATATCACTATGGCAGAAAGATATTAGTCTAAGATGTTGGCCAAACAAGCGATATGAGATCATTAATAATTGTGTGAACAGATTACTCGAAAAGGGACCGAAACGTTGTAGTGCTTTTAAATAAGACCTAGTCGTTTAAAAAATATTTAAATATATTTTATTTGTAGACAATTATCGTATAGTCAGAACGATAGAAAATAGTTCGTTTTTAGCATTCAAATTCAATTACGGTAATAAATGAAGAGGAAGTTCGATTGCGATCTTTATTAATAAAAGATAAGGTACTGGTGCGCGAGATTTACAGATCCAACTGATGCGTCTCGGCGAATTGATCTTGAATCGCAACTGCAATCTTATCGATTCGGTGGAACAATTTCTCCTCCCTACAATGATCATAAGTACTCTTCTGCCACGTTTCAGCCTCGGGATAGAGAGATACGAAGAAGCAATCAAATAAATACCAGTCTCCCGCGCGTATCTTTCTCTTATCGGATCTAGTGAAAATAAATTAGACAAACAATCGACGTACATAATTCAGACATTTTCATCGGCAGGGCATTACGTAACGGGAAAGAACTCGGTGCCGGGATGCGTGTGTCAATAAAATATGGAGAAAGTACCTGTCCTGGAGAAAGCAATTACTATTAGAAGCGTGCAAGAATGGTCCGCAGGTTGACGCGGTCGTACGATTACCCGGCGACCATGGCGATTCCCAATTTACCGCTTTTTACAGAAACGATCCACTTTCGCGCACGGTTGCAAGAACTAGCAACCTTAACGATCTACCGCTCTCGATGCAACATTAACGACCGGTCGCGAGTCCTACAGGTATAGAAAGTCACTATTTCAAAGCGGGCAGGAATCCGAATTCATGTCGGGCTGGGGAAAAACGTGCGGCAGGTAGGCCGGTGCGCGGTGCAAGATGCATGCGCCTCCGGGAGGACGTTTGCGAGCCCCGAATTGATGTAAGAGCCTAGAGCGGCGTCTAGGAACGGCAGAACGGAGAGCAGCGACTAGAGCGGAGTAGAGTAGGTATAGCTATAGTCGGCCGCCTGTCTTGCAACCTTTGCCTCGCTTTTGCGTCGCGCTCAGTCGCGATTCGTCGTTCCGCTGGCGAGAACGTTCCTTTTCCCTCCTCGCTGTCCTCCGCCGTAGACGCTCGCTGCTGCACCGAAAGTGTAACGGTACTCGCGTTGGGGGCGTCAGAGTGACGCGAAAATTTCGGCGTTACAAGTTACCGTCTGAGAATCGTCCGGAAAGTCGCGATGAATGCACGTCGAGTGTGCGGTTTCCACATTTTAACTGAGTCATTTCAACTCGGGGACGCAAAGGTGCGCCTTTGCGGCAGGGCTTGAGCGCGCGCTGAAACAATTTCAAAAGCTTCAAGATGGTCCATCAATGCCGCTTTGGCGCTCGAGATGGCAATCGCAAAAGTACCGCGCGACGCGAGTGCGACTTGGTTTGAGCGCGCAGGCGTCGACGCGAGCGGGCGAGCGTGTTAGCGCGAGACTTGGAGTCGCGGAAGCAGTCGCGAAACACGGGTTTGCGGCAACGCGCGTACGCGCGAGTTAACGAGCCGACGTGCGAAATCGGCGTGCGTGAGAAACGAACAGTGGTGGGTGCGTCTGACCGTAAACTGAGACTAAGTTTAAACGACCTGGGGGAGAGATCGCCGATAGATGCAAAGCTTTCGTGGGTGAGCGACGAATGTCGCGTGAGCTTTCGCGCCGGTGAGTCGAGCCCGACATACGAGACGCGAAAATCAGCTACGTGGATCTCCTTCGCTTCTGTTTGCTTTGAAACTTTTGTGCACGAATTCTTAGGTGACTCCGTGGTGCTTTTTCCCTTGATTGTCGTCCCCGTCGAAGATATCTTAGGCCCAGTTTCACCAAACTTCGCGTAACTTTAATCGTAGTTTAATCCACGCCTGTCTCTTTCTAAAGTGAAAAGAGACGAAGAACGAATTAAGCTAAGCTTAAAGTTAGACGACGTTGGTGAAACCGGGCCATAGACGACGACGTTCTGGATTTTATCTCGTGTACGTTTGCGAATTGCCGTGCGCTCGTGGATCATTTCTACGCTGATTACTTCCAATTGCTTTGTTCAGAAGAACAGTACCTTCTCAACATTTTTATCAGTCGCGTATTTAGTGCTGAAAACCTGTGGACATATATTATTTTCTCACAATCGTGTTTAAGCGTTTACTCCGTTTATTAAAGTCCGCTCTTTCTTCTAGTCTCGATCGACTTGGCGGCTACAATGACGTACCTCTCTCATTCTTCTCGTGCGTTCTCGTGCGTCAGAATTTCCATTTATCAACGATGCCGTTAAACGTACAAATCCAGCTAAATCGACGTTCTTTCCAGTGATTTTTTTTCCCTTCTATATCCGATATCGCAGACTTTATTGTCGAAGACGCGGCGGCGCCTGAAGGAAGTGCGACGTCAGGTCTATGTCAGTCAGTGACTACGTAAACGCATTTAAAGCGGATCGTCTCCTACGCCCCGGCTCTCTCGTTCCGATTGATCCGCGGGTGTTTGCGTAACGTCGTGGCGAAACGGGTCCAATACAGTTATTCGCTAATGACGATGACGCTCGTCCGGGCGAAGGAGACACTAGATACCGCGACGCGACGGACACGCACCAATTTGACAGGAGACGGTTGACTTATCGCACTAATAATAGTGCTTGCCACTGTGTGCACGAACTACAGGCGACGCGACACGCGCGATTTCGTATAATCGCTCGACCGTCGCGCGATATCGAACCGCTTACCCGGCTTAACCCTTTTAATACTCGACGAACAGTGCTCGCTATTGTTCCGTGGTCTCTCGTCTCGACGGTACCGCAATTGTCTCCCGATAGTTCAACTCGATATTCGATTAAGTTTCTCTTGTGACAGTTTTACGGCCTGTCAGAGGTGCGAAAATTAATGATGCACTGAGCAAAATTTTCAACGGATAAAAATAATATTTCCGATGGTTAATTTTTCCGATTAAATTATGTACATATCCGATGGAACTTGATCGAAGAACCAATCTTATTTTTCATCGGATGTACAATTTAATCAGCTATGTCCGCTTGTTATTATGTAATTGGATTATCCGATTATCTTTTAATCGGATATCTTTCTCATTGCGTGTATCTATCTGCAGATTTTTAAGTTAATCTTTCATTTTACTCGATAGTCTAAAGTGTGCGGTCTTGATACAGCGCAGCTTTTCCTACGTTATCCTTTTAACCCTTTGAAGCATGGTGGTAACCCACGTTACCACCCCAACCTCTTTACTTTTTAGCCATTTAATTTCTAGTTAACGCATTTAGGTCGGGTTTTCTGCATTTTTTGGGTATCTTAGCAATAAAAGAATAAAAAAAAAGTTGAGTAGTCTTTAATATTTATTGTTAAAGTTTTATAAATGAACAAATATGAAGAAACAGTAATTTTTTCGGAGAAATTCATTATTGACCAAGTTTTTTAAGATTATTTCTTGAAAACTTTGTACAAAGTATTCAAAGTTTCACAAAAAATGGTTCAATAGAAAAATGTATGCTTCAAAGGGTTAAAAAGAATTGGTCTGTTTCGTGAAATCAATTTTCCTCAAGATTGTATGTACCGCGCAAAATGATTATACGATTGTTTCCCCAGAAAACTGTGACTAGAAATATTCAAAGTTTCAAAAAAGTTTCCCTTAGCGCGATCTTAAATGAATACGTCCGTCTGAACAGGCTATTTCAGTCTCTTTGTAACCGCCGGCGTTTCGATTCAGTTTAAAATGATCCGAATCTTTCCTAATTGTTCCGAACGGTATGTCGTTAACTTATAACCACACTAACTACGTCTCTCGGAGCATTAATCAACCGGCTCGCCGTCATGCTCTTGTTACCGTGAACGGTATACTTTTTCTATCCGCTTCCGACGACCCTCGATTGATCTCTTTTGTGTCGCTTCGTATTTTTCTCACCGTCGCGCCTACCCGGTTAATGACTCCCGGCGATCCTGCACGGCGATCGTACTGAATTTCCGCTTACGTGTTTGCTTCCCCGTGTGCCCAGGTGAAGGAAAAAGGGACGATGTTGTCGTACATGCTGCCGACGGAGGACAAGCCACCGCCCGGCGAGCCCAGCAGCCAGCAGAACAATTATCGCGTGACCGGCAAGCTGCAGAAGAGCACTGCCGTGGTGAGCGCGTCGCCGAGGAAGTGCACGGACGCGACTAGAGCGATGATCGTCTCCACCAGGATTGAGGAGCCGGCCGGCGGCGATCCCGTCGGCCGGCACGGCTCTCCTCGGCCGGTCGAGAGCCCGAAGCACAACGGGACGACTACCGCGAGGAAATCGACCCTGCACAACGCCAACAGGGTCACTAAGGACGACAGCCTCTACAGCATCGACAGCGTGGCCAGCACCGCCGGCAGCGAACGCAAGAACAAGATTCTGAACGGCGCGAAGCACGCTAGCCTGAAGAGGTAAGTGGAGGAGATCTTCTTATCAAACGAGCGGTTTGTTTCAAATTGATCTGGACCGTAAACGAGAAAATTACCAGTTCAGATCACGCTCTACAAAATAGGTCTCTTTTTTTTTAAATAGTCCCCAAGCTCTGAATCTTGGCAGAATTCGATGGTACTCGCATCCGTTGTATTTAAAATGCTGTGACTTTAGGACGTTAACGAAAATCGGTGTTAATCATATTCAGCTCGATAAAATCACGAATCTTCACAGGGTCGAAGCATTGTTTTCGTTTCCCTCGTAGGAATCGTTGAGATTAAACCGCACGCGTTTTAAGCTCTCTCTTTCTCTCTTTGTCCCTTTCTCGAGGCAGGTTCTCGATGAACGCAACTCGTCCTCGCCGTCGAAAACCCGCAATTACCCGCCCCGCGAGTACAAGCGCGCACAAGTTCGTCGGGTTTTACATGGCAAAACGCCTTTCTTTCGCGAAAGGAAGGAGAGAGAGAGAGAGCGTCACTATGTATCGGGTCTATAGGCTGACTTTCGCAGCTCGAACAAGACTTTTACGGCACTTGCACGTGGGATAGGTCAGGGTCAACCTCGCTGAGGCTTCGACGGGGCGTTGTAATGCATCGCGCGGAGCCTCGCTCGGACGAGACGGGACCGTCTCCTGAGTGCACTTAATAATCCTGATAAGAGACACACGAGATAGCGAGAGAGGTGACTTGGCGTGTGAAGTAACGCGAAGCAGGAAGAGACCCGATCCTGTCGGGCGTGCATGTTTTAACCTTTCGCGAACATTATGCGTGTCGTTGTCTAAGCTGTATAACTCGAATAACATCCGGAGCTGATTTAGGGAAGCTAAACTGGTACCGAAATGGCAACCTTGCCGAGTTGTTGCGCACAAAAGCGCAGGTTTTGCAATTCCTCGTTACGTCGATAAGAATGAGAGTCCTAGCAGCCTTGTCGCCACAGTGCTAATTTACCGCACGAGTGTGTTTAGCGTGTTTAAAAATATCGCGAATTCGATTCGCAGTTATGACGGTGTCTCCGATGATTCCGCGGTATCGCTTTACCGTTTTAATTGCCCTCGTTCTTGCACTCCGGGGGAAAAAAGAGACAACAACCCACTTTGGGGCCCGCCATTAGTAATCGAATGATTTGGATTGCTCGTAACTCTAATCTTTTACGAATTTTAGCGTAACTAAAAATTAGCTATTCTATCTATATCCAAGATTTTAAAGTAATATTATTAACAAAGTAATATAAAGTAATACTAATCAATTCTCTCAGTTAGTTCTGTCGATATTCAGTAACGCAAAGATAATTTTCACTTAAGAGGCCCTAACCGAGATGTTAAGTTGCTTAATTACAAAAAATACGGTCAAAATTTTTCCCAGAGTAGAGTTACGAGCAATCCAAGTAATTCGATTACCAATTGTGGGCCCGAAAATTGGTTGCGGACTATCTTTTCTTTCCCAGAGTACGGGTATACGAGTGAATTAAGAAACCGCGTTCCAGTTTTGTAACAATCGGGCCAATGTTGTTCGAGCCTTTTCAAGTATTTTTTTTTATGGTAAATTGCGTGAGGTGCAGTTCGTTAAGACGCAGATTATAATACCAACAATGGTTAATGCGTTTTCGAGGAAGAGCGTTTATTTAGGTTGACTTCGTAATAATGCTGGCAGCGTTAGACTTGAATCACTCTAGAAAGTATGACCTGATCCGCTGCCAAAACGCTGTTGCGTACTTAGAAAATACTCTATTGCGTATTTAGCGTCTATTTTTGCAAATGTATCAGCAGATAGATGCAGTTGCACGTGCGTCTAGATCCTTCTCGTTTAGTTCTTTGAAAGATCGTATTTTTATTCTTCTCTGATAACATTTAATTCTGTAATTTGAGGGTAGTTAACATCGGAAAGTAGAAGCTCGTGAGAGATAAAAATCGCTGTTTCGTAAACTTTGTCAATTCTCACATTTTAACAAGCACATTGTGTCATAGAGAGATTAAATATCTTGATATAAAAATCGCTGCATAGATCACGCTAGTAAAACTTATGTCAAAGTACGAAAAGATTGAAATGAAAGTGTTTTCTGCAAACAAGAACCGTGGGATTCCATAATCGATTTCAACCGAGCCCACAGACCCCCTCGCTAATCGACTGCCGCCGCGGCTCGCTGCGTTCGATACTTCACAAGCCGTGAGAGTAAAATTATCACAGCCCGATGCAGCGATTCTTCTGCGATCGAGCAAAAATAAACATTCTAAAATACATTTTTTTTTTCCTTTCGATACCCACGATGCGTCTCGCGGGTATCGTCACGGTTTTTCCCGCTCGTCCACGAAATCCTGAATTGATTGCGAGGCGCGTTATCCTTGAGAAAAACGTGATGGATTGCGAAACGCGCGCTTCTCTGCGAAATCGAGTTTCCCCGTTCAAGATTGAAACTCCAATTAATTTCGAATGCAACCGCTTAACTATTTTACCACTATACTATACTACTATTTCAATTACTTATATAGAATCTTAACGTGCAACGTATCGGAATGTTCAAGCTAACGTTAAATTAGTGATTAGATCGCTATAGAAATATATTGCGGAACAAAGGTTGAGAGGTATTACCCTAGACGTTTAGAAATTGATCGATACTACGGCGCTTGAGAAAATAAAGCGGCAAATGAGCGATGTCGTCTTTACGGAAGAAGGGGACGATGCATCCGTTTTTATGGCCTTCATGGATCAACGCAAATTCGGAGGTCAAATCGGAACCAGATCGATGGGAGGCTGCCAGCCGGGCGACCTCGACCTCGACCCATCCCAACCCTCAATCTATAGATCAGGGTGTCGTACCAGATCTTTCACACTTCGAGGAAGATCGCAATAACGCGTTTCTCTAGTCCCGCACAATACTCGTTCGAGTGATTGGAAAGTTGATCGCGAATGAAATTTATGGGCGCGCATAAAAAGATGATGGAATTAAATAAAACGATAAGCGCGAATAGAAAGACGGCCAATTTCGTAAAATAACGTACTGTCGCTTTACGTTAATCGCGAAATTCTTTTCTTACGCGCGTAATTTTTCAGATATCAGCTCGAGAAATCTTGAAAACAATGGATCTCGCGTCTTTAATTTGATGGAAGACTCGGTGCTCTTATGAATGAAGGCGTTGCGAAATTTTATCGCTCTCCTTATATATTTCGTGTATTATCCAAACGCGATCTAACACTACGTTTGTTGTGTGTACACTTGTTTGTTGCGCGTATCGATTAATTATAAATACGGACAAACGTGCGGACCTACTGTAGGCTCGGTCGTCTCAGCACCCACATGACTTTGACATACTCTGGTTGGGAGACACAGCCACCCGTGGCAGCACCTTACTGCGAACCGTTTTAGCGTAGACTAGAACCAGTATCCCATAGCTCGCAACAGCTCGTAACATAACAGACTCGTCAAGTTCCAATCGACTGTACTTGTTTGCATTCTGCGTATAAAACCATCGCGCATAAAATCTTTGCATATAATTACAGAAGAGAGAGCGAGAGAGAAGAAATGTCTAGAGTATATATATATAATGAAAGAGAGCAGACTTAATGTTGCCGCGATATCACGTCCGATCAGGATGAGAAAGAAAGCAATCTCCCGGATAAATCGGTCGGCACGACTTATCGATCCCTCGCGACGTGGTGACTTAATTGATTCCTCGGCGTGCGCGGCGAACCGCGTCGAAAGATTTATCCGGCTGCGGGATTAACTCTGTTGCAGCGATGAATAATAAGCCGCGCGCACGAGCGCGTTAAAACCGGATCCAGATCGAGCGACGAGCGCGAACGAGCGCGAACGAACGAGTTTGCTTTGCACGAGTACGGACGGCGAGTACGAATGCGTGTCGAAATGTGTGTCGACAAAATACAGCTCTTCTCGACACGTCAGGGAATAGGAATTCGTCACGCTCGTTCATATTCGTTTTAAATGCTCGTTCGTAATCGTTCGTCCTTGCTGGCCTGATCTGGACCCACCTTTATGTGGCGACGCGGTGCGAAAACCGGTTTGCGCTGCGCCGGTGATCCGCTAATGCCGTTTTCTGTCTTATTAGTGCGAATGCCCGACGCTATTCGATATCCTCCCGCGAAAAGATCGGCACAATTTTACGCTGGCCACGCGAATATCCCAAGTGCAGTTGCATTTCGCGACATCATCGATTTCTTCCGAGACATGCAACAAGAGAGCGCAGGAAGACGTCACTTTTCATTTAAGAAAGTGGTGTTTGTATTAAGATCGAATATAAGTTTAAGCATTTTTGCAACACTCTCTGTACAAAGAGTATTAACGATTTGTGATAAAGTATGTGTTTGTGGACCCACGCGTGTACGCAGCTTTTCTTATTCTCAGCGCAAGTTTTCAAAATTTGGCGATTTATTTCGGGGACACTTTCGTAAATAGTTTGTAGCTCTTTGAGGTAGAAAAATTATTTGAATATCAGTACTTCTCTCGTGTTATTTTTACCAGCAAATAGATTGAATTTATTAATTTGTTAAATTCATATTTATTATTTTTTACTGTCTTCTTTTGAAAGAATTTCTTCTCTGATCTTTCAAGCACGGAACTGTATGTACAGGGTGAGGCAATAACTTTGTCCACCTCGAATATTTCCGATATTTTTAGAGGTATGAAAAAATTATAATTACGAAAGTTGTACTATATCAAGGGAGCCATAACGTGTTGGTAATATTTTTTCAAAAAGTGGAGGCGCTTCGAAGATTTCAAGGTCACCTCTATTTTTTTTAAACGGAACCCCCTATTGTTTATTATACTGTCTTATTCTGCTAAGTAATATGACCAACTTTTGTCCGAAACATTTTTTGATTTGCCTAATACTTTTTGAGATATTCCATATTTAGCTTATGATATCTCGATAATTGTTTGTCGGAGGAAAAAGTAGTACAGGACTTTTTCACTTGATTTGGTCTCGGGCATATGCTGTTGCAATAGTGCTCCAATTATAGAAAATTGTTGTGTATGTTACAATATACGTTGTACAATATACAACTCTCGTGGATGATGACTGCGTCTGCCGGCCAAATCTGTCGGGAATTTCTTTAGATTCTCCTTCGGAGTTGGAGGAGTAATGGCGCGGGGCCACTTCCGGGGCGAGTGACAAATAACTGTGTACGGTACACTTTATTTATACGCGCGTCGATCTCGATCAGACGCGATCGTAATTCGACGATGGTGATCGCGAGATTTGGATTTTGATATCGCGTTTGCGGTCGTCGGTTGCGGTCGCGCGATAGAAAACTGAGGTTTGCGACGAGTATTTTTCGCGCATTGCTAGGCGTGCGTTGCTGAACGTTATCTGACCTGTTTCGATCGTGTGCCGATTATAGAATATCCGAGATAATAAAGATATCTTTCAGCTGTAGATTTACTCAAAATATGTAGGAGGTTATTCTCGTCTATTCGTTCTATATAATTACATAATAATTTGATTATAAATTTCTCGATAGACTCGTTTTCGCTTATCTACGTATTTGTTGCTTCATGAAGAATGATTGTTGTTTAGGGTATCCTTCGGCTCGAGCAAAGGATCGATGGTGGAAACCCTCGTTTACGAGACCCCAGTGCAAGAGGAACCTGAGATCAATCACTTTCTGGACCACAACGGCCGCCTACCTCCTCCTATGATACCTGTGCCTGATACTGAGTAAGTAGTAATCTCGCAAAAGAATGTCATTATGACATCGAAGATATTCATATCTTGCTCTTAAATGGCGCGTCGTCCGAATTACTTAATTCCGGAAAATTAACAGCGATCAGCATATTTGATTTTGCGAAATATCGGGAAACTCCATTTAGCTTAATGTCTTTTAGAAGAGAATGTATCTCAAACGATGCACCGTGTTTATTGTTTTCTGAAAGAAAACATATTTAAAATCGCAAATTTTATTCGACCACAGCCGGTCATATTTGTTAGTTTCTCTGTCAATGCGGAAAATTTCTTGCGAAAAATATTACCTCAGCCAGGATTTGAACCTGGACCTCCTCCCTACACTCTAGACGGGCGTCCCACCAATTCGACCATCGAGGCATATGATAATATTTGTCGCAATAACAGTATAAAGATGCCGTCTACGCGTCTATTTTTCGACTTGAACATATTTAACATATTTAATATAAGAAGCACATTTAGGACCAATTTCACAAACGTCGGTTAACTGTTAACCAGAGTCCAGTCAACTTCCTATCGTTTTCCATTTCGTTATCTAAGAAGAGACAGAGAATCAGTTAATCTTCGGTCAGCAGTTGACCGGCGCTTGTGAAACTGGCCCTTAGGGCCACATTACGGGTTTAATCACGCAACGAACTTAATATTGGACACGTAAATCGTTTTGATTGGCGGTGAAGGGGAGAATGAGATACCATGCCACGTGGATACGTACATAGATCGAATTTGACGCACGCGTCGGTTTGTTTTTCGCGCGCCGTCGTAATTTTGGCAGCGACTCGTGAATTAGCACCTCCAAGTTCCGATCGCGAAAGCCGCTTATCGCGATGAATCGCATCCCGAAAACCACCCACGCACGTGCGTGGCGGTGACGTCAATCGGCGCATCCGACACCGAAATAACGTTCGTTTCATATACGTGTGCGTGCATCCAGGAGCAGTGCCAGATCGCGCGGAAATCGAATCTGTAAATACCGAATCGACACATGAAATCGATACGCGGCGCGAAATCTCGCCCCACCGCTGCATGAAATCCAACCTCCCGTGGGCTACATTTTCGCCTCCCCCCACGGACAGATGTTCATCATTAAATGTAACGCGATACCGAGCCAGGGGTATCCTCTGCGAAGAACCGACCGTAAGATACTCGTTTCGCGAAGAATTCGGCCTAATCGAGATTTCCTGCAGAAATTTTACTTACCATTGGTATTTACTTACCACTGTTTATTTCTTGTTTACGGTCAGTAACTAGTTATAAAACAATAATCAGTACTTTTCTGGTCAGTTTACGAATAGTTACGATCTAATTAATCCTACACTGAGAAAAATGTCCGATTAAATATAATCGGATAATCCAATTACATGATAACAAACGGATATGTCCGATTAAATTTTATATCTGATGAAAAATTTGATCGGTTTTTCAATCAAATTTCATCGGTAATTGCATTTCATCGGATAAATTTCATCGGATATATCCATAATTTAATCGGAAAACGTAATCGGAAAAATTAACCATCGGACATTCTATTTAATTGGTTTATCCGATGAAAATTTTTCTCAGTGTAGTCAGTGAAACCTACACTGAGAAAAATTTTCATCGGATAAACCAATTAAATAGTATGTCCGATGGTTAATTTTTCCGATTACGTTTTCCGATTAAATTATGGATATATCCGATGAAATTTATCCGATGAAATTTGATTGAAAAACCGATCAAATTTTTCATCGGATATACAATTTAATCGGATATATCCGTTTGTTATCATGTAATTGGATTATCCGATTATATTTAATCGGACATTTTTCTCAGTCTAGTCAGTTTTTGGACAGTGACGAGTTTTTCCCAGAAATTTTTCTACTCGGGTGCGCAAGAGGAAAGCCACGCATTTTACATCTGCCTTAATTCTGACTTAATTTAAAACGATTCTTAAGAGGAGAGCATACTGTGTTAGTATCTCACTTAAGTCCTAATTCAAGAGTTCGCTCCAACTCTTGATGCACACAATCCGAATCCTTGCTTTTCCAATCGAACTTTGCATCTGTTTGTTTCACTTTTAATTGTACTCTTCGCAAAGGCTCTCGAAGGCGATTTATGTCGCGACTGTAGCCCACCTCACGCAAGCGTCTCATTTCCGATCGCGAGCATGCGGTGACGGAGATGCCATTAGATATTCCTGGCGCGCGAGCACCGTCGTTTAACCGGATCAAACGCGATAAGTAGCCGACCATTAGGAGAGATACGCGTGGGCGGTGGGTACGGAGGTAACTCGCGAGATACGACACGTTGTCTCCCAGGAATGCGATAGCATTGTATATATAATATATGCACGAGGATGACTTTGACCGCCTCATCATGCTGAGGCGCTCCTTCTTTGCGCGCCGACAGAAATTCCGCAGAGCTGTCTCTCGTTACGTCTCGAGCGTACGAGGGACGCGTGAATTCTCGTGTTGAAACGCGATTACGCGCTTTAATGCTTTACAGTTTACAGAGTAACGTCAACTTTCGAAAGATCCTACCTCGCGGAATTTAGATAAAAATGGATACCTTTATTGTAGACGTAGATCATTTTTTACAAAGACGTCGGGCGACTATCGGAGACGTCTCCTACGACATTTTGATTACGCGCGAAAGAACGTTTGTCGCGGTAGCAATTTGGCAACGAAATTCGTGCATTTCGCGCTTCGACGCGTTATCGCGCCGCGCCGATATTGGCGATAAGATTACGAGGTGATTAGGAGCGTCTTGAGAAAGACGGCGGCTCGAACACACCGCGGTGCCAGTTGTGCCGGTCGCGACAGCGCGATCCCCGAGTCTACCGGGCAACGGGAAGAGTGCAAAGTGCTAAAGTCAGACGCGAACGGCGTAGCCAGCTTTTTCAGCGGATCTCGTCGCTCTCGCGCCGATGATCTCATCGGCGCGCTTCTTTATTCGCGCGCGGTTACGTGTGCCGAGGGTTTTGTAATCGCACGCGTGATTCTCATATTCGAACGTACCCGAGAACCCGTTGGCAACGCGAACCGTACCGACCCGCGCGGTGAGTATCTCGTCGCTAAATAATGCATCGAACGTGCTTCGGCCCTTAGTCTCCCCTCGACGCGTGACGTTTGCCGAGGTGCGCTATCGATCGGGTTCAAATTTGGAAACGAGAGACCCTTCGGACTCTCTCTCTCTCTCTCTCTCTCTCTCCGGCGTTGTTGCGCCCTAAAAATCACGACGATCGTGCGCCAAAGAGGTAAACTACGTTCAGAAAATCTAAATTTAGGGCCCGGTTTTACCAAACGTCGTTTAACTTAATCTTGGTTTAATTCACGTCTGTCTCTTTCTAAAGTAACAGTTGACAAGAGGCAAGGAACGAATTAAGCTGAGCTTAACGTTAAACAACGTTGGTGAAACCGGGCCTAAGGCTGCGTTCAGAAACGGAGTGCCCCAGCGTATCGTTATATCCCTGTTGCTCACGGCGTGTTAAACAAGGATAAGACGATACACCGGGGCATTCGGGTGATGTTTCTGAACGCATCCTTGGAGTGGAGTCGTTCGAAAGTTCTTCTCTCTCGCGATTTGATTCTCTCAGCGTCAACATTTCCCGGTTAACTCTGCCATTAAATAATGTTCTTCAGGTGATACATCGCTATTTGCTTGAAAACTGTTATATTAGTTTTTGCCAAATCGCTCGGTTCTCCTCCCTGAAGTGTCGTGTCTCTGATAACACGTCTTTAAAATACATATCTATCTGAGGGGGGGATATTATTCTTTGATCATTTTCTTCATTCGGGGTGAATTCTTCCCTAGTTCTTCAGGGTGGACGTCCCTGCGTCCACCGAAACGCATTTTTTTCTTTTCTACCCCGAAGATTGATCGCGGCATCACGCATCGCGTGCTCTGGTCGGGTGAACCACCTGCGATTCGCAAAATCGATTCGAACGCGAAGGATCTCGTCGGCATGACGACAGATGCCGGCACCCACCCGGGTTTCGCGCACCATAGTCGGAATCGTGAAGGGAATGGAAGCGCCTGCGTGGTGTGTCCCGCGCCGCGCCGCACCGTACACCGTTCGGTGACTCCGGCTGGCCGTTCCTCGTGTTAGTGGCACGCACACATCCGGTGCCGCGAGGCAGTTCGCCGTCCGCGCTTCCTTTTCTTCCTACCTCTCTCACCCGGGGTGGTGAGACCCTCGCGCGTCCCCGGCCCAGGTCCTCCTTAGCGTGCGTCGTCGTCGTCGTCGTCACAGACGGTGCGTGCACGCGTGTCTGTGTGCTCTCGCTTTCTCTCCCACCCCCGGTCTTCCCTCTTTCCCTGCCGCCGATCATTGAGCCAGGATAAGCGAGAGGAGCGCGAGAGGCAGGCAGGCAGGCGAGACGTGTTCAGTACGCCCGTGGCCCTCTCTCGACGTGCACGGAGTCGCGTCGTCGGTCGAGCTACCCGCGGCGACGCCGAGGTTGGCCCTTCTCGAGAGGAGTGTCGACTGCAAGAGAGAGAGAGAGAGAGAGAGAGAAAGGGGGAGGGAGAGAGAAAGAGAGAGACAGAGACAGAGAAAGAAAGGGAGAGAGAGAGAGAGAGATCGATCGTCCAGCCCCTGGATTAGTAGTGCGCGCGTGCGACATCCAGGTAATAACGAGGTGGCGTTTCCCGGAATACGCGCCCTTTGACTCGGAGCTGCGTCGATTTGCGGCTCCGATCGAGACGATCCGAGGACACCGGGCCCTTCGACCGCTCCGATCGGAGCCGCGAACGGCACGCTCGATCCTTTTCTTTTCTTTTTCTTTTCTGTTGTTCGCCGGGATATGGGATGTCCGGAAAGGTGCGTACACGCCCAGTGAGGGGGAGCTCGCTTCCCGAGCAGGTTTGGGGGTACAACGGAATTTACGGTGCGTGTAGACCTCCGTTCCGTTGCAAACCGCGCGCGTCCTCCTTTAAGCACGAGTCTCTTGACAAACTCTTACCCGGCTCCTCTGATAAGAAATTAATTTCGGATTGAT